AAGAGGCACATCCAGGTTTGCCATGGAACCAGTCTTATACAGAGCAGCAGGAAAGGCTATTAAAGGCAAAAAGCAAAAAGAAGGAGTATATGAAAAAGTAAATCTCACCTTTCAAAACATACCTGTCTGTTTCCTAAATACTGTGATAAGTGGTATCCAAGAAGTCACAATTGATAAAATTATTGAGGAGAAGAAGAACTGGAACCGGATTCCAAAATAAAAGCATTGGAATAAAACACTTCCCTGTACAAGCGGCAGTGGTTCCACTGAGCCTTCCCCCCTATCTTTCTCCTCTCAAGGGGAGGTAAAAATATATAAATAAGTAAAATAAATCAAGACCTTCCCCCCACCCCACAGTCCCCAACTAGTCCTGCTGCTTAGAAATTCACAGATATTACTTTAACACACAGTGGCTTCGAGGATTATGTGGATATTCCTAATGAGTCCTCCCAAGAAATCCATTAAAATGGATACAGTTTGCATACAGTATCACTGATGCTCATTTCTAACATCTAAACTATTTAATGTTAAAGAAAAAGACTAAGCATTGAATAACAACTGTGCTTCCTTTTGTTTCTCAGCTTTTAGCATTTTCCACAAAGATACCACATTACACAGTAACTAACAAGTCAGTCAGACCAGTGGGAGGGAGCCCAGTTAGGACCCTCCATTTCCGTACCCCTTACATTGCAACACTGTCACTTCAGTCTCCTACTGTAGAAATGAACAGCTGAAAACAAAATAAACCTTTCAGTCGCTGTTTAATGTGAGAACATGTTTACATCTTCTTACACTGTTTCTGAAATGTCAAAACTGCTGACCTTCATGAATCAATGGCTTCCTGGCTTTTCAAATATTCGAGCCTTACCTTCACTTTTTGCAAATGTATTGCCAACTGTAAGCCACTATAGAGGGGTTTTTTTTTGGAGGAGGGAGTTTATTTTACAGTCCAAGTCTTTAACAATTGGAGACCTACTGGTGATATTGATATGAATTCAAGCAATTACTTGCTATGACACAACAAAATTGGTCCAAATTAAAATGAGCTAATGGGATTCTGAAGATGAGGGTGAACATCTGATACTCGCTCTTTTATTAAAACACTGGGACTTGCGAAAACATTCAGTGGAGAGCGTGGCTCATCTCTGGCAGAAACTTGTTCATGTCCTCCCTCTTCCTATCTTCTGCTAATTTGGCGTCATTATTAACCTGGTATCAACAAAAGAGACCTCATTAGGCATGCTAATCTCTGTGAGAGGTACAGGCCAGAGGCTTTATCATTCTGTTCCCTTTTATTCCCTTTTCTTTCCAGAGTCCCCCTCAAACCATGGAACCACTAAGGAGGAACCACAGGAAAGTATCAGTCAAGACTGATATGTTCTGTCAAAGTATAGGATTGGGGATACAGGTACCACAAGAATGCAGGTAGAGATATCTGTTATTTTCTTTGTTTCCTTTTTTCCTTGTTTCTTCAGTTTTATTGGAAAAGGAACTATTTACACAGACAAAATAAAATGAACCTACATCTTTTCATCTTATAGGCACTATGTAGGAACTGAAACAGGTAGAGGGACTACATGGACTTTTACTTTTTCTGTTTCATAAAGAGATTCCTGAGGTGATATAGAATCATGTAACTTCACTGAAGTCCATAGATCTCCTGTGGTTTATGCTTTTTGTGCGTCTCACTCGCTGGATCTAAAGCAGAAGTGTATGAAAAGAGAAGAAATTACTGAGCAAACTTATGCAGGAAAAGTGCTGTTCAAATACCTGCTACTATAAAACTGCATGTTTAGATCTTACCATGTTCTTGGGAATAGTAAACCAATTTCTCTCAGAAAAAAAAAAAATCCTCATATCGCCCACTCACAAAACTCTTACCTCAAATTGCTCAATTTTGCATATTGCAGTCTTCCACTATTATTTGGTTTACAGCATCCTTTTACCCAGAATAACAATTTTTACATCAGTTATAAAAAATGTTGCTATACATCAATTTTTTTCTTTACTTATTTTGGCCATGCAAAATAAAACACCAGTCGGGCATTTGTGTAAGGACTTTGTTCTATTCTGTTTAAAGTTCCTCTTAACAGAGTCCATAAAACTATTTTCATTTCACAAAGCATTTTAGAGTTTCTTATTCCTATAATTTAAAACAATGAGCTATTTTGGGAGAAGCAGAACAGGGTGAATTCCATTTAAAATTATTCTGCTGTTATGCATTTGTAGCTAAAAAAATTCTAAGTTATGTAATAAGAAAACAATAAATATTAAGAACCTCTGCCAAAACCCAGGCAGTATTACTTGAGTGGATGCAAAAATAGTGCCATAACAGAGGAAAAAAGTCTCACCTCAACCTGTGGGACAAAGGTCTACAGGTGAGAACACACCAACAGTGTAACCAAATAAAGAAAATTAAATAGATAGGATCTATTTTTATTAGTTTTTTGTAATCTCAGTTTCAAAATTCAGCTCATTTGGTGAGAACAAGTCAACAGGTGTGTGATATTCAGCAAAGGCAAATTTGAGATTTACTATGTACTTAGAGAAATCCACTTTTCTACTTGCTCAGAGAAAATAAACATGCCATAAACAGCAATGAACAAATAGGTTGGTAAATATATATATGAGTACAAGAAAGAGTTGATAAACGGGCACACTATTTTGTCTAGTGATTTTCCATAAACTTTTTTGTACTACTGATCAAATGTAATGACTGAAATTCCTTACAAAGGAGACTCATTACCCCTGCTACTTTGCTACTGTTAGTTCACTTAACTACAGTTAAGATTTGCAATCCTGAACTAAAGCCAAAGCTGGTTCCTCTGGGCAGCTGGAATTATGCCCATGGCAAATGCACTTGTACATGCCAAGAGATAGTGTCTCTTTCACACAATTAGTGTGCAAGACTAGATAATTTTTTACTTCTAGTCAGCTATTAAAAAGTCAGAGGTATATTTTCCTTCATAGTTATGATGTAAAAGAGAGTAACACATGAACTCAAACTGGACTACACACACACCTGCCGAATATGACTAACTTTTCTTTCGCATCAAAAAGCTTTGTTACAAGTAACCTTCACAACACTGCTCTTTCCCAAACAAAGAAGTCATGCTCATAGCGTTCATAAAAGCAAAAAAGGAGCAAGTTCTCATCAAACTGAACCTCGTCCCCTGAGGCTGGGGGCTCAGAGCAACCATGACATTCCAGGTCTCTCCTGCACATTTTCTGATAGTTGTCCTTGATGCTGGAGTAATAACTTGTGAACCTGTGCCTAAACGTTGCCCTTTCCTCACTTCTCTGAAAACAGCCCGTGTTTCTCCTTAGATTGAGACAGCTGCAGGGTTTGTTCTCTGAATCTATTCCTAAAGAACCACCAGGAAGGTCTACTTAAGCAATTCTTCTCCCTCAAGGAAGAGGTTGAGCTTGAACTCAACTAAAATTTCTTCTACGTTTTCCCCAGGATTCCCTTTTCATCTAGGAGCAAATAGGTAGGTCCCAAACTCAACCTTTTTATTTGGATACATGTAAACACTTCCTGTAGATATGCTCAGCAGAACAAATGGTATGGTATGGTATGTCTGCATCAAAAGGGCTCGATTCAGCATCAAACCACATCCTCCTGCACAGGTTGTGCCTCCCTTGGCTGCAGCCTCAGGTCCCACATGGCAGCACTGCCCCGTTCAGAGGGCATGCCTGGGGCTGTGGCAGGCAGGGGACACTCGGGAGTGCTGAGGTGTGGTGCTGACGGGAACAGAAACCCTGGGTTTTCACAAAGCGCAGCAGAAGCAGACGTTGCTCCTGAATATGGTGTTTTCATGTGTACAAAACCAACTTTTTGCTCAACCTAACACCAGAACTATTTGAGTGTCTGCAACAGATGTTCACTTCATCTCACAGCTGCTCAAACTCCAAAGCTTTCCCTCCAGAAAGAAAGGCTTCCAAAGCAGCCCTCCTCTTTGTGAACGCCTCCGTCTCAGAGAAAAGGCCCATCTGTGCTAAAGACATGAGTTTCCAAAGAAATAGTCCAAAGAAATATGTTTCAGTAAAGATAACAGGCACTACAGAGCGCCTTCAGACCTCCCTTTGGATGGGTTTCTTTACCTTTCTTGGCAAGTTAATCACACACACGACTCCCTTGTTGACTCAGGCATTAATCTCTATAAAACCGGCTGAGCTGTATGTTCAGCAAGCTGAGAATAATAATGAAACCCAAATTATTTCCATTTGTAGTTTTGAATAATCCAGAGGCCGCAGAGCACTGGGGTTTTGCCAGGAAGGTGGGCGATTCCAGGTGTGTTCCCTGGCCGTCACTTAAACCCGTCACAGCCCATCGGATCCGCACAGGGGCTCCATCCCCACGGCCCCGCTGCTCACTTGGATCACTCTTTGGATCTTTGGGCAGGTCAGTGCCTGTCAACTGTCCCTGGCAGCGCAGCTCTGATGTGGGTGTTATTAGGAACAAACAGATGTTCTTGCAAAGTCTGCAGCGTGGCTGCATTTGGTGGCGGGAAGTGACAGGTTACTGGTTGTTCAGTTTTGAGTTCTAGAAAGGTGCAGTTTGCCCAGAAACGAGGGGATCATGGAATGGGGGACACATGGTAGGCGTCGAGAAGGCCCATAACACCTCAGCCAGCGAGGAAACAGGGACGGACGTATCGGACAAGGGGATAAAAGAGGCTGTGACCTTCATTAAATTGAGAGACCTCCCTGGGGACTGGACACTGAACTCTGCCTTTTATTCGAATAAAAGTTTAGTTAGCGCCTCTGCCTCTGGGATATTTTTGAGGCTCCTCATAACAGCAAGAGGCAGGTATTTTTCAGCAGACGGGCCGGCGGAAGCGCCCGCGCGGGGCGCTGCGCGCTGCGGCCGGGGCGGAGGGTGCCGGGCGCGCGCCCCCGCCGGCCAATCGGGCGCCTCCTCGGGTTCCCGCGCGCACCGCCCACCTGCGGTTGGGGGCAGGGCCGAGGTGCGGTGACGTCACGGGCGGTGGCGCCCAGGCCCCGCCCCCCCGTAACGGGCCGTGAGGCGCCGCTGTCACCGCGCGAGGGGACGCGGCCGGGCCGCCCTCACACAGCGCTGCTCCTGCGGGGACACCGCGGAACGGCACAGGGGAAAGTCTGCGTGCGTGATATTCTAAAAAAAAGGGAGACAGCGGTGTTGTGGTGTTGTTGGTTTGGGGTTTTTTTTTTTTTTTGGTCCTCGTCTGTTTGGATTTCTTTCTAAACTTATGAAAAATGGCAACAGCAGCATATGTGGACCATTTTGCGGCAGAGTGCCTTGTTTCCATGTCAAGTCGTGCTGTTATCCACAGTCCCAGAGGGGAGCCTGATCCCCAACCTGGTGAAGCAATATTTCCTCCATCCAATGGAGAAGATAAGCGGGAAGTCAGAGAAGCCGGGAAGGACAATGGACCCTCGTTACTGGTGGTAGCCAGCATTTTAGCAGACCTGAACCAGCATGTCCCAAACTCACCTGCGCTGAGGATGGAAAACACGGAGACCCTTGATAGAACAGAACAAATACACATTTCCATTGCTCCTAAGGAGTTTGGGGAAGAAAGTGTGTCTTCGGCTGGTAAGCATGGAGGAGAGCGAGCAGCCACACCTACCAGCCTGGCTGCAGTCACTGAGCCAAGCCCCAGACAAAAGAACAAACGCATAAGAAGCTGGACTGACCCTGGATCACCCCAGAAAAAGCACAAATGCCACTATGTGGGGTGTGAAAAAGTTTATGGCAAATCTTCCCATCTTAAAGCTCATCTAAGGACCCACACAGGTTAGTTACGATCCAGCCAGAGATTTATTTGTTACAGCTTGGTAATTAAAACCAAAACCAAACAAACTTGTATTTGGCCACTGTTATGGTTTCACCTCTCGGAACTCAAGCTCGGGAAAGCCAAACGGCAAAAAAACCCCAAAAAAACAAACCTCTGGGAATAAACCCTTACTGGGCGTAGATTCAAAGCTAATGTTGCCCTGTTTTATTAATGTCACAGGGAATGGCATGTGGGTCATCTGTGTGGATTGTACCAAGCTGTAATTTTTAGCTGCTAGCCTTCCTGTTCTGTGTGTCTTGTACTTCCCTTTCCAATACTTCTTACCTTCCTGTTTTTCCTACCCCATGCTCCCATCATTATACCATGCTTATCACTTCCCATGCAAGCTTTATTATTCTTGATATTTTAAAATTAAATGTTCTAGAGGCACCTAAATGGCTGTGTGTCTGTTTCTTTCTTTAGCAGACACTTTGTGAAAGCTAGAGAAAGCAGAAAGGCAGATGGAGAGGCTGAACACCATAAATGAGGAGAGAGGGGGATAGGGGCAGTCTCTGAGAGGCTTTTGACAGCTGGGTAAAACCAGTTTAAAACCAAAAAACATTGGAATTCAACCATTAACTTGTACTCATCAGTGCTTAGTGTTTACTTCTTGCTGAAGACTTATCTGACCACTTTTTTGTTGCTATCGTAATTTATGAGACACACCCATAGAAAAAGTGGAAGTCTTGCAAGCGCTGTGAAAGTTGTCCTGAAAGTATTAGGAGAGCCATCTTGAAAGAGGCCCCAGGACTGGCCACACCTCATGCCTGGTGCTGGGGAACAGGATGGCTTCAGTCAGACGGGGACACCAAAAATTGAGGAGAGTGGTCTCTGCTGAAGGCACAACCACAGCACATCTGCTGAGGCACCACAGCGACCAGAGCAGCTTGTGCCAGGTTCCACTGCCTGATTCCAGACAGCACATTAGTTCACTGGGATGTACAGTCAGTTCTCTTGGAAGGAGCAGTAAGAAAGAGATCCCCAGAACTAAACATGACTTAGCAACTCCTGAACGGTTTTAGCTCAGAGGTGTCAACCTCACCCACCTGGCCAGACCTTCAGTGTCCCTTCGGATTTTCCTGTTGCCTTCCTGAGATAAAGCAAGAGCCATTCTAATTTGAGGGCATGTTTTGCTCTCTGGGGGAGAGAAGAAAGCCCCATCAAGTCTGAGCGTATGGATGGACAATTCCCCGTGGCACACAGCCAAAGGAACAGCATGTTCCTGGCACCCCAGGCAGCGTGTCCTGCTTTGCACTGTGTAACTGCTTTTTGCCGCCTTGGGAGCTACACAGAAAAGGTGCTTCCACTTGGCTTGCAGGGAATTGTCTCCGTTAATTTTCAGTTCTTTTGCATTCTTATTGCTGGCATTTGCCATTGTCCTGAAAGCGAAAGATAAATTTAGCGATGTTCCTGGGCTCCCAAAGCAAGCGGAGCCCAAGAAGGGAACTCGTGTCCCTGATAAAGCGGAGGGCTGGGCATGGGGAGAGGAGGGAGGGCAGAGCCGGCGGGGAGTGCCGGCACGGCGGAGTCATTCGGGGACGCTGGCTCGCCTCCAAGTTCTCTGATTTTTTCTTTTTCCCTTTTTTTTTTTTTTAACTCTTAATTTCCTGTATATTTTCCATGTCTGTAGGGCTCGATTGGCTATTGCTGTAGCTAATGGCACAGAGAAGAGAGCATGTGCGTGTGTCTGAGAGCTAAAGGAAAAGCAGGGAAGGGACTGTTTTTGCCCAGGGAGTGGCGAGACCCTCGGGGACTACAGCTTCTTTGTTTTCTTTCGTCTCCAGTGTCTGTGTGGGAAGCTTTAAGCAAAGCTGCCAAGTTTCCCTCCTCATTGGCAACAGGTCTGTCTCTGTTTGGATTGAGTTTTAAACAGGCTTAAATGCCTCTTACTCCCCTTCCAGAATGTTTTCTAAGGTGTTGGGATTTTTTTTCTGTCTTTAAAAGAAATTGTGACAGGCTTGAAAAAAGTTTGTAAGACACTAAGACTTAAAAGCTAATAGAACAAGTGATGACTTCCAGGACTAGCAAATGTTTGCTTTTACGAAACACATAATGGGTTTTACTGATGTAGAACGAGGGGTTTGGGTCTCCTGTGCTTTCCAGTGATCCTGAACTAGCTGAGTAAGGCATCAGTGTACCCGTGTGTCAGATGGGTAAGGGGATGGGTGTCCACCTCACCTGTGAAAGGACACCGGGGACACAGGGAAGCTGCTTTAAACACCAACCCAAAGAGCTGCCAAACCTGTTTACTAAGAAACAGTCAAAAACCTCTGCTGTGGAGTGGAGCTTCTTCCATTGCTGTATGACCAGGTGAGCTGGTATTCAGGGGTGAGCTGAAGGCTGAGAACAGTACTGCAGGCTAGAGATGATGATCATGCAAGAGGTACTTGAACAGAGCAGTTTATGACCTGCTTTAGAATCTTCCTTGTCCTTGTCTGCTGCTGTGCTCAGAAACTAAGGACTTTGCTCTTCATGCTTGGAGGAAGGATAGATCCTTGACCTTGTGGTATGGCAAAGAGATACAGAGCTTTCCAAATACTCCTGGGTCAAATCCAGCCCACGCTGATAGGGGCTGAGAGCTGGTAGCGTTTTCCAGCTGTTTGGTGCCCTGTGTGAAATCCTTCTGATAGTTATAGCTAGATTTCAGTGCTCAGTTATCTAAAGCAAAAACCATAGTGCAGAGGATGCTAATTATCTTATTTAAAGCAAAGGAAGTAGCATCTGCCTTTTATCCTCTACTCAGAGTACAACAAAGTTTTAGAATTAAGTACTTGATTAGCACAAACTGTGGTGGGCTGGTTTCTGGTGCACTTCTTTGGTACTCCAGTGGCTAAGATGTCTCAGCCTTATGAATACTTCGTCTTTATTAAATTGCAAAGCCTTGCACCAGGCAGAAAACATTTGTCACCAAAATCTTTACTGTTCTCTCCACCAGCTTTCAAAGTTCCCCTTCCCCTACGTGTCTTTTCACATTTATGTTTTCCACCCTACTTTCTCACTGGATGTCCCGGAGTTCAACATAATCATCAGCCACACAGCCCTTGAACCAGGAGGTTATATGCGGTGTCGGAGGTAGATGGCAAGTCCAAATTCTTGTCCAGTAAGGTTCCTGTGAGTCTCAGAAGGTGTGTTGTGGTGCACAGATACAGTGCCCTGTTTGTCCAAGCTATACTGACCCCACTGATACAGAGAGTTTAATTTCCATACTGGTTTTAAAAATTCTCTCCACTCCTGAGAAAATTCATAAACACAAAGGACTTTCAGAAAATCAGATAAATCAGACTAAGTTGTCCTTCCTCTAAGCAGGTTTTCATCACAAAGGTTTGGAAATTTTCCGAGTCATTGGAAACCACTTTGTCTCTTGATGCACCAGTGGGCAGAGGGAGACAGTGCAGAGCCTGATAGCAATCCACAGGCTACAATCTTATAAAGCATTTTCCAGGACTACTACGTTCTGAAGAAGTTGTAGAGAGCCCCAACTTACTGCATTATACCATGCATTTATATGTAGAAAAACAGACTGGATTTGGGCCAGGGATCACAAGAATCCTGTATTGCAGCTCCTCTCCGCTCACTGTGACCTCTCAAGCTTTTAGCCATCTTCATTAGCATGGCATCGTGAATGCAGAGATTAAACAAAATAAACCTTTGTTTAATTCCATCCTTCTAAAGTCAGTCATCCCACTCACTAAGCAGCACATCATAATAGGAACAGCTTTTCAGGAAGTCATCAGAACTAAATGAGTTTGCACAAATTAGCATAAACTTCTGGAGATGTGGGCACCAGTCTCAGTCTGGAGTCTTAGTATGGGAGAGTTTTGCAGCAAAACAACTTGTGGGCCTTGTGGCTTAACAGTGGCTCCTCTGTACTACTGCTAAACTGGCTCTACGTGGCTGTTGGGGCACAGGAAGAAGAGAAGGCCTAATTATATGACCCTTGCTCATAGATGTCAGGTTAGGACTCACCCAAGAGAAAGTGGTCAAGACCTGTGTCAGTCTCTATCTTGCAGAGTGAGCTTGGGCAGCTCTGTATTCTCTGCTTAGCCTTACAGTTAGGGAGGTTTTGTTATTTGGCATCTGTTGTTTTTAGTCTAACCCTTATTCCTGAAATATTGGTTGAATTAAAATAGGTAGAAAAGACTGATTCATTTCCATTCCCTTGTAAAGAAGTTTTCATTCTTTACATTAAATCTCTATAAGCACATTTTTGAGGACAACACTAATGAACCCGGATGAAAAAAGTTATTTTTTAGCTTACGTGCTCTTTTATTGCATCAATTATTTTATCTTGTTTCCCTAGGCAACATTTTTCTCATTATTTTGTAGCTGAGATATGTGAAAATGGAGAATTTAATAACGTATTTGGTATTTGAAAGCAATCTGAGAAATGAAGCTATCAAACCTCATTGTGACAAGTATGACAACAGCATAACAATTGGGCTGGACAAACTGGAGTAGAATACAGCCTGTGCTCAAGTTGGTAAAGAGGCCTTTATATAAAGTACAGATAATGTGTTTTGAACAGGGGCTTGGATTTCACTTTCAGTTCTAGTATTACGTTAACACAAAGAGTAAAGCACAGCTTCCTCTAAGTTCTGAATGAAGATGCAATCTGTGTGTGTGAAAAAACCAATTAACCAAGCAAGTTCTTGTATCAGTGAAATAAAGTTCATATTCCGTTTTAGCACCTGGCATTTACCAGAAACATGGCTAGTTAGCCAAAACCCATGAGGTTTCCTTTAGCTTGCCTTAGGCACACACTGACTCCCGAAGGGCTCACGTTGCAGCAAGGACGCAGTGCTTGTGGAGACCCAAGGCTTTGCAGGAAAAGATTACCAGAGGAGAAACCTAATCTAATGCCTTCAGTGCCTGCAGATAGCTCTTGTACAGCAGGATGAAATGAGTGGGTACTAGGGCTTTAATCCATCCTCTGCTGAGCTGCCATTTGGGCTGCTCTGCA